TTATGACTGACGAAAGTGGCTAGCGCCATCGCAACACGTGAAGGGACCTCGGGAGCGCGTACCTGTGATGAGCGACCGTGATTTGCTCGCAAGCTTCTGAGGATGAAGAAGCGCGTCTAGTGTTCGAAGCGGTGTGCACAACTCAGGTGCTTGAAAGTTCCGTCTACATGATGCGTGCGCCAGAGCGACACCCGCAAAGGTGAGCAAAGGGCAGTTTTTCGCGCTAGCGGCTTGGCAGGGCGAGGGTAAACTTGCCAGAATGGAAGCCAGGTATTTGTTCAAACAATATGGAACTTGGACGCACAGATTTGGGAATCGTTACTGGGTATTATTACTATAATCACTCGCTATCCTTTGTACTGTTCCAGACAGAGCTCGTTCGTTTCATGCCGCTAACGCCGCGCAATGCTATGCGAAAATCTAAGATCATCGCAACTGGAGATCATGATCGTCGTTCACCCGTAACTTCGTTGCCTCGCGCTCGATCCTCAGTGCCGTCATCCAAAAGCGTAATCTTTCATCATGGTTCCCTCTGGGCTTTCGCCACCGCCTTCGTCTTCTTCACGATGAAGACGCCAACTTCCACACCCTTCGTGGGCTCACCGTTATGGTAGTCCCGTTCCGATACGCCCTCGAGAACGGCCTGGATCAGTGTTGCAGCGCTCATCTCGGAGCTTGGGAGCTTTTTCGACTTGCTGAAGTACTTGGTGATTATCTCCCGTATACGGGGCTTCTCTTGCTTGATCCACCAATCGTCCGCCCAAGCTGACCGTTGCATTAGAATCTCCTCTTTTGCGGCGTGGATGACTTCGTAATGTGCTCTTCTCTCATTGTTGTGTCGTTCACCCATTGCTCCGCAGAATTTCCGGACTTGCGCCTCCAAGTGGTTGTACTCGTCCAGGTAATTGACTGAACTCATCTGACCCAGGTTCCTTCCTAGCTCGGAGTGGAGATCGTGGACTACCGTTACGGTGCGTAAGAGCGGGTCGAGAATTGGACCGAGGTACTGCTGCGTAAAGGTCCTCGCACCTGTCCTGGTCGGATAGATGAATAGAAGGACGCCGTCGTCGCTAGAAAGCTCGATTAGGCGATCGTACAGCAAAGATCTACCCCGAAACGTGAACATCTCAGCGAACTCATTAGTGTTAGTAGGCGGAATGTATCGCTCTACAATCGAAACATTGATGCTTCCCGGTGGCACGACGGGTCGAGGCGATGGGGGCAGGAGTTTCGAATCGAGTTGGTAGTCTGGAATAGCGACCGCGCTGTCAAAGACTTTGCTGGTAAAGTAAGAATCTCCTCCGACAGCAGGACCAGGCGTCGATGGAGGAGACTTTGGCAGATCCATGAGCGTGTAACGACCAGGAAGGGCGTGGAATACATTGATCCACGAGGTTTGCGTTGATGATCTGTCATGGATAGAAGCGATGACCTGGCCGAAGATGTGGCCTGATGTTGACGGACAAGGCAAGGCGTGGGACAGAATCTTGACAGAGTCCAACTCCAGACATCCAGATTCGTTTACTAAGCTAATTAGCGAACGGAACTATGCGTCATTCAGGTGCAGGAAGTACTCACTGATGGTGCTTTTTGCCTCTTCTATCCACGCTGCCATCCTCAGCGCGTCGCTGAACTCGTCGTTGAACTCTTCGTGGGTCGGTACGATTATGGGCGCTTGACTGGGAGCTGTAGCGCTGGCAGTGATGTTCAGATTTGGTGACACCCCTGGCTCAGAATTTGGAGGCGAACCCAGCCCAACCGTGCGTGGGTTCACAAAGGATCCCCAACTGATCGTCCCCGGCTCCGTATCCGAGGGAGGCGTGTGAGTGGACACAAGATGTCCGACGCGGGCTCTAGCTTCCTTGGGACTGGTAACGGGGGTATGACTGGCCCCGTTGGCGTGGCTGAAGAAGTCGAGTGGTGGGCTGAGCGCATGGAGAGGGTCTTCTGGCTTCGACAGAGGTCCAGCGCCTAGTGGAGAGAAGGAGTGGTGTGTTTGCTGTGGGATACGATCAGGGTGGGGCGCAGCAATGCCTAGTACATCAAACGAGGGTAGACGCAGGTTGTGCGTACTCCTGAGGACCGTGGACGTGGGAAGCGAGAAGTTGCTTTGAGGAAGGTTGAGGGTCAGATCAAGCTGCGGCCGGTCCTCGATGGTGGGAGTCCTAAGAGGCTGGGGTAGGGCGGAAGCCAGCGGGAAAGGCTGCGGCAGAGAAGCGTCGAGAAACGAAGAGATATCGTTGGGAACCGCTATATCGGGGCAGGGACCCGCATCTATGCCCTCATCCGGAGTGGGTGGGATGGAGTTGGGCTGGAGCGCTTGGTGGGAGTCTTGGTGAAAGCGAGGAGGGGCATTATCAGCGTCAGATGGCTGTAGAAGATGTGACGAGGACTGGAAGCCCGTCATCATGACCAACGGGGTCTGAGATGTTTGCCGGTAACGCGCACAATCACGCTATGCTGGGTAAGTGGGATGAACAGACGCACGGAGACGTGGCTGAAAGATCTGGCGTCCAGGTACAAACGCGGTAGCGCCGCGGCGGCAGTAACGGCCGCGTGGGAAGTATTGACAGGTGGAAGGGGCTGGCGGTAAACGAGTGGATGGTCGCCTGGGGAAGACGGTCGCTGCGTCCAAGACATGAATGTAACAGCAGAGCGACCAGGCCAACGCAGTGTGAGGGCCAGGTGGGCTAGCTTGGGTTTGCGGAGTGAATACCCGATGTTCGCTGCGGTTGATGCTAGCGTGTTTTGGAGGCCCAGGGTCTCAGCAGCTGAAATCTAGACCTCGCGGCCACAGCAATTCACACCAGCGAAATGGCCTGACCGCACCCGCTGCTCCCTGCACACATGGCAGCCTAGCTCCATCACCAGCATGCCCATCCATCGCTCCTCACGCTGCCGTTGTTTGGTTGTTTGCAGCGCCGACTGTTCGGTGGGTCGATGCCCTGCTGCACGACAAGCCGGGCTAGTCCTGAAGCTGTTTGATACGAATTGAACGCACACCCATAGGGCTCCCGTGGGGAGCCAGCGTACACGAGTACGCAGTACGGCGCCGCACCCTGCCAATCGCCTCGTAGAACGCAGCCAGTCTCTGCACAGCTCATGGCCAAAACGCACAAGTTTTCAATTCGCTCCACAGTCACCTACCCTCACCAACGTTTTGGTGCGAGCTTACAGCGCGTCTTTGGCATGGGTCTAGCAAGCCTCCAAGCTATCTACCCGCAGTCACACAGTGCAGCCACACTCAGCTGCCGCGACACGCTTTGCCCTACAAGGCGAAGGGCCATGCGAGTCTAGGCTTCCAATCGAGATGTCTCTTTTGGCCAGCGGATTCTTGATTGTCAGCAATCGAAAACCGTGAAAACTTCTTTTTAGCTGGATGCAGCTTAGGTTAATGATCAGCGCCATGCTGCTTGTCACGGGACTTGCCGTTGGGCGCATTTTCGTCTCGCCACTACCGAGCTCAGGGTTTATTCCATAGTTTACAAACGTAAAACTTCGCTATCAATTCTGCGACTGATCCACTCGTGCATGGATGGTCAGATGTCAGACTCTGCTTACAAGGTCTGTCCGGCGATGCGCCTTGCTCATTGTCTGCGACCAAGAACCAGCCGCAGAAACGTAAACACCATACCAAGCTTTTGTGCCTGGGGACTACAACAGCTCACCTTGAGCTCTGGGGTCCTGCCGCTTTGGTTTGTTTCCAAGTACCTTCACCTTAGCTCCACGCTGGTCCAGCTTTGTTCCATCGAGACACTTCCTCGGTCAACCGCCGCGCCACCATCGCCTTTACGTACTCCTACACTCAAGTATCAAACTATCGACATTAGCACCAACTTAACATCAGAGTGAGACATAAACAACATACCTGCCATTTCTGCAGTCCCTTGTCCCTTGCTCCTGGCGCACTTGAACTGGATTTCGATGCCATCTTCGGCTCATGCAGTTTCACGTACTCCTGCGCAAGCATAGGACATGCTTTCTTGTGCGCCTTGTAGTGCGCCTTCTGGCAGTCTTTGTTGCAGTACGTTACACTGTGGCACTTGATGCACTGCTTGAGCGTGTCCGGAGACTTCCCGCATTGCGCGCACGCCTGAGGCGGTGCGGATGATGATGAGGATGCAGACTCTGGCTGTGTGTTGGGTGTTTGTGACGATGAGGTGGACGACTCTGCCTGTGTGGTAGACGCAACGTTCGAGTTGTTTGCCGAGTCGGCCATCTTTGGAATCAAAATAGTGAGGACTTAGAAGTTATTGTCAGGTACTATTCGCGGTTTCAATGTCGACGTGTTTCGCTGGGACTCACCTAGACAGATGCCAAAAGTTGAACGTGATCGACATTTTGCCTACAGGGATGAGCTTGAAGCGACTGCGCTAACCTAGTTCGGTGTTAGCTTGAAAGCTAGCAGGTGTTCCGAGGTCAGTCGCGAGCGCCATCAACACTGCCATAACATATCCGCCGTGCAAAGAAATTCCTGATCATGTCGCCATCGACGGCAACAATTTATCGCTCCGCTTTCGATGTGGCAGATGCTTTTACTCGCGATAACAGAATCATTGCGAAGTTGCGCGACGCCATCGAGCCACTAACCATCAGCTCGCCATGCTCGGCTCATTGTTGTTGAGTGCCAACTCTCCAGAACTTTCGATGCAATGCAACAAGAACTTTTGCGAGTCATGCAATGCAGAGAGCCGTTCCTTCACTTGTTCATGGCCGCCTTCGTCAATAGATGTCCACGTCTCATCGCTCCTGCCGTCTCAACATTGTCAACACCAGCTGGACGAGAGAAAGAGCACCCCGACAGGCTTTCACTCCTGAGTCGGTAAGCTCACAATGGGTTCGAGTTCTGGACAGCGCTGTCGAACTCGAACCTGTGAGTGTTTCATTCGTGGTGAAGCATTATAAGAATTGTACCAAGCACTGCAGTACCTCTTCTCCACAACCAACATACTTCGACAACAACCTTCAAGCACCTGTTCATAACTCGCACAGAATCCATCATGGGTACCGAGATGTCTCATCAGCAGAACGACGATCATACATCTCAGCCGTCCCAGGATGGCTCACAGAGTTGCGAGATGTGGATGTTCGAACACATAGTTGATGCCATGACACAGTTAAGATCGATATGGACTGAGATCAACGCGCCTCCCCCGGCTACGATCGAGCGATACGTAGTGTTGTCCGCCTCCGAAACACTTCACGATTCAGAATGCCCTATCTGCCAGGGAGACTATGACGAGGATCAGCATGTAGCTATCAAGCTTCTAGGGACACATTGCAGTCACGTTTTCGGCCGAGACTGCTTGCAATGTTGGGTCAATAGTGGTATGCAAAAGGCCCATTACTGTCCTATTTGTCGACAATGCATACGTGGCGCGCTTGGTGGACTACCCCCATCGCAGCCAGGCGCCGAAGACGAAGAAGAACATTACTATGAAGTCTTCTACGACGAAGAAGAAGAACAACTTGAAGCAGAACTTGAAGCAAGACTTGAAGCAGAATTTGAAGAAGAACATGAAGAAGAACAAGAGGAAGAAGAGGAAGAAGAGGAGGAAGAGGAACAGGAACAGGAAGAGGAATGGGAATGGGAATGGGAGGAAGCTGAACAAGTCCTCAGTCCGCAACAGCGTGAACAACGCGATAGGCACTGGGCCAACTTAACCGAAGTCAGCAATATCTTGCAAAACATCGAAACAATCGCTATTCCCCCACTTGAGGGTGGGGGGCATATAAGCCTGGCTCTTCAAGTCGTACGCACTGATCCGACTATTCAGGATGAAGACCGCGCCCTCAGGCAAACACTGACTCGCCTCTGGAATGAAAGCCGTTATCTCAACGAGCTCCTGTGTATCAATTTCGAACGCAAGCAGGAGGAGCAGCAAAGGGAAATACTGCGCGCTGAAAGGGAGAGGAACGTACTGCAGGTTGAGATGATGCAGTTTACCGCTAATTTCCGGAGGATGTAGGAGGGCAGAAGTTGGTGCAAGAGTTAATGAGTTCGCGAGCTAATCACGATCATGAGATATGGCTTGTCCCAGTATCCGGGGTAGACATCCCGTATCATTTGAATGCGAAATATCCATACAATAAGCTTAATAATAGCTATCTTCCCATGTTATCGAGATGTAAACATCTGTCTGTCAAACGATCCCATTGTGAAAGCGCTTCTTGCTGTACTTTTTAGCAAATGCCAGTGGCCTAAAGTAGCGAACCCATTGTAGCTACAACTGTGATTATCACTAAGTATCCGCATCCTGTTCCCATCCGGCCAATCTCTAGAATTCCCACTACACCAGAGGCCCTTATCCGTTGTCTGCGCTTCCCTTGAACAACCCAACCGCACCAAAGCTTCATGAAGCAAGCAAATTTAACCTCATGAGCCCATAAATACAGACTGTACAACTCCATCCCCTCACACCTATCAGTGCCCCAAACCTCTCAAACACCCTCATCCCGGCCCCGAAACAGCTGTCTACCCCTCTCACAAAAAGCACTGAAATCCTGTTCTCGCCGCTCCAACGCTTGACGCATCCTTCTCACCTCTCCTTCCCGTTGCGTCAGGTGGGCTTCGCGAGCATCCAGATCAGCTGAACGGCGTTGGAACTCGAGTGACTGGAAAGCATGTGGTGGCGCTGCTCTGTTCTGTTCAGACTGTTCGCCTTGTCGTGTGGAGTTTGTTTCTTCGGGGGGATAGTTGAATTGGGGTCGATGTGGAGGTGCTGGGAATGGGGTGCGTTGCTGACCGAACTGGAAGGATTGGGGGGTTGGATGAGTGGGATGAGAGGATGTGTGAGGCTCTGGTTGTCCGGCTGCTGCTTGTCCTGCGGCGATTGCAGCGTGGAACTCACGATGAGTAAACACGGGCTCAGTACGCCAGTCTCCGCTGTAGCGAGTGTCTCCGGGTGTAGTACGTGACTGAGTCGTAGGCGGACGGGGCTGACTGGTACGCGCGTAAGGCCGGGGTGTACGTGCAGGCTGTAGTAAAGGCTCCGTATCTCTCCTAGTAGAATCCGACATAGTTCCTCCCGCAGGGTTTTCGGGCACGCCCGCGAAGAGGGAAGGTGCGGAGTTGCCAGCTCTAAGAACCTCTGTGGCCTCTTCTGTCAAACGCCGACTGCGCGCCGAAAGGCTTTCATATTCGGCTCGGAACCATACGGCGCGACACAGCGGACAGAGGTTGGTGTTGTCTTGGGTCTTGCGACGGGCGAAAATCTTCTCGAGGCAGGCGTGACAGAATTCGTGGTTGCACTGGGCGGGTGGCTGGACAACGACGCGAAGTGCTTTGTGACTGCTGCGATCGTATTCTTCTGTACATATTGGACAGTGGGCTTCTTGTGGTGGGTTGCGCTCGCTACATGGCTTCAAGCAGCGGCGTATGAATTGGGCACAGGCCAATGGCGCCGTTTCCATGTTGATTGATCCTGGCGGAGTTGGTCGCGTACTTCTAAGCGTTGGAGTGTAGAACCGACATCGCGGTGGTGTGAAGTTGTAGTCAGTCTTGGAAAGAATGAGAGGGTGTAGAAGTGGATCCGACGCAAACTTGCGCAAGTCGGAGTGAAGCGCGTGGAATCCCCACGGACCAGTAGAGGCGTGTGTGGAAGGCTAATGACGTAGCTTATGCTTGTTTGATCAGACCCACGAAGATCGCAGAAAACATGCATGGCATTGAGCTATTGAGTTCGTTGGTTATAAAGAAAAGACTTGCAGTTCCTAGGGCGCCTTGCAGTGATAATATGGAGATAACCACGTGGCGCTGTCAGCCCAGCTGACCTCCATCCAGACATGCGTACAAGACGGCAACTCCTCCACCTTCGACTACTGTTTTGAAAACAACAGCAACTGGAAGATTGAGAACCTGTGCAGCGATTAGCTTATGTCGATTAGTTCAGTATCATCTACTTACAAGACGCTCACGACAAAGAGATCCGACCTTTCGGTGCCTGTGAAATAGGTCATGCAACCGGAAACTAGGAGGTTTGTCGATGTCATGACCATGAACTGCGCTATGTCTCGTTCCTGCTGAGAAAGGTGCGCAACAACAGCGGGCACCAAACTGGCAATCACTGCCGTGAAGTAGTAGGTAAAATAACTGAGATAACAGTCGTTGATAATCGCTTTACCGCTGACCTTGTCCTTTGGCAAGAATCGTTGAAAGATTCTCAAGATGGTGAGCGACTGTTCGCAAACCCAAAAAGTAAACAAGTCGCTGTATTCGCGGGATGCGAGGGGGATCAGGTCCGTGGCGGTTTTAGTTTCATCGTCAGAATCGCCAAACATAGGTTTGTAGTGATGTATGAGGCCATCCTCCACAGCTTTAGACACGTTGTAGGCTTGGACTTGTTCAAGGTCGAAGTGATCAGGTGGCGATATCTTGTTGAGCTTTCGCTGTCGTAGCAGAGCTTCTTCTGTCGGGCTGTCAGCATCAGAATCTCGGAGGATTACGACTCGACTGTACCATATTTTTCAAGCTTTTGGCGGATTTCCATAATGATGTGATACTGTTCGGATGCACAGGCCGGACTCTTCATTATAGAAAAGCCCCAGTCAGTGGCTAATTTTGCAGTGAGCCCGGAGTTTTGCTCCATCTCCATCGATAAACCAAGCTTCCACTCTAGATAGTCAAGTTCAGCCTGCATGTAGTGGAGATTTTGCACCCCGAGGGTTTTGAAGGTACGGAAGAGGGCTCGTTCAGGCTTACTGGCCATGAACTCAGCCAGTCGTGGGAAGCCAGCCGGGAGGCTTTTGTAGAGCTTGCATGGGTCATCGGAGTCGTCGGAGTCATCGGAGTCGTCGAAATCCTCGGCTTGTTCGAAGTTTTCGGCTTCTTTAGGGGGATTCTTTCTGAGTATCTTGTAGTCTGCCGTTTGCGGTGCAGCATCGCCATGTAGCTGACCAGCAGGCGCTGCGACAGAAGAATACCCTTTCCAAACCACAGATTCATCTGCGTCTGCACTTGCGAGGCTCACATGAGGCTGTGGAGAATAATCCGGGGTGTGACGAAGCGGAGGGTAATCCGGGTGTGCGGGGCCCCAGACCGGGAGCTCGTCCACAGAATGTTCTGAATCAGGTCCATCGGATGTAGCTGGTCGGATAGGTCCATGTGTGGTGTTATTGACATGGTCGAGATGTGGGGTTGAAGATGTAGACATAGTAACTATTTATTAGTAATGGATATAGTGAATGATTCTCGATTGTAAATAGTGGAACTTATCCTGGAAAGAGAAACAACCTGCCGGAGCTGTTCTTATATGAACGAAGTACGTCGCAAACGCAGCAGTATGACTACACCATTGAAGAAGATGAGCATGCAGATGACTCCAATTAACAAGAGTGACGATGTCCGTGTATATTCCATGGTACCCGCGAGAGCCTTGTGAATGTACGCCGTGAAGGTGTGCCCAGCTCTTGTCGCGGGTAGGGCTCTGACAAACCGATATCAGGCATTTGTGAAGATACCTTGCTTCAAGAAATCTTGTGCCGTCGAACAGTCCTGTCTTGTAACGCGTACACGCGCCGTTCGATCCGTCTTGTTGACACATGCGGCTCCACTGTTTATGTTGGCGGTGCGATCAGTCGCGGCCTTCTGCGTCTGATCAGGGAATTCTGGAGGCCAGGAGAATGCTTCAAGGATAAGTAAACGGAACAATGTTACAAACCCAGATCTTGCTGATTCAAGTATGCCACTTTGGCGTTGGCCACTTCCATGAGGCCCTGCTATCACCATCAGTTTGAGACCACCTTCGTAAGTCATCGAATACTCACATTCTTGAATGATCAAGCCGCCATTGCGGTTGCACATTGAAAGAGTTAGTAGAAGGGAGGTGAGAGTCGATGAGGAATGAGGAAGGATGCGGCATCTGACCACTGCAGTTGCAATAGCAACGTAGGTCTGTTCGTCACTCATTCAGAGCCAGCCCACTGGATGTCAATAAGCACGCAACGTGTGACTCATGTTACTCGAGCTGCACCAAAGGTTCTCAAAACATTCGTTCAACCACATGTACCGAAACATAATCGCGTCTCCATGTCTACGCAATATTGTACCTTTGTGCCCTAGCTTCCGCGAGTCCAGCAGCCTCACCATGCATTATACCCTCCACATACGCTTCTCCTACCAGCTGCCATGCATTTTCTCCTCGACGCCTACTCTCAATCTCAAGCAACTGTATCTGCAAGCTCTTGCGTTGCGTTCTTGTTAGCTTGACAGACCTGCTCATGCCGGTGTCAAGCTGCTCACGTATCTCGCGCGCCTGCCTCTGCAAGACATCGTCCACCCGGGCGAGTATGTACGGAGCTTTGGCATCTGCTACTAAGAAGACCCCGTCGCCATTTCTCAGCCAGTTTGGACCAATTCCCAGATAACCGCCTTTGGTAATAAATAGACTCTGCAATCCTATTCCGGAATTGTAACCTATCACATCTGACGCCCAGTCGAGCTTCCCGTGAGAGTCACGAGTGTTCGCAGCATCGCCGGTGTCTCGCACTAAGTCACTTCGTTCATCCATGTGTGAAATCTCCTGTCTATTCATGGTGGTCTCGAAGATCCTTGTCAGGGTGTCAGGGTGGATTTCTCTTGTCTTATCGAGGACTTCCCTCCCTTCTGAACCCCCAAGATTGCTTGGTGGCCAAGGGGTGTCTGGATGATTTGCTCTGATCCTGGCGTAAGCCTTGAATACACCACCGTAATCGACAGCCCAGCCTGAAGGCCAAGGATATGATTTTAACCACGTAGGCAGACTGTCGGGTTCCTCGACCCACATTTTGACACCCTCTCCTACGAAACCTTCAATTAGCTCATGAAGCATCTCGCAGAACCCTCTCGCCATAGTGTCCTCTTTCCATTGCCTCTCGGGATCTTTCGGGTTCCTGTAAGCTGAGACCATTAGGCGTGCCAGAGCCTCTATCCCTGAAGATCCGGTTGGATAGTACACACGGGGAACTGTGTCAGCTATCCAGTCGAGCACCCTAATAGCTCCCGTACAGTCCTTGATGTTGAGTACGACGTCCAGGATTGGACAGCAGTTGGATACAGTGTCCAAAAGAGCGGCTGTCACAGCCAACTTAGTGCCATCGGATGATATCTGTGGCTGAAAGTTCGACATGTGCGCAGAAAGCGGAAATGGACGGCCATGATTGTTGAGCGATATCACAGGTTCTAGAGCCCTTGAGGTCCATGCTTCCGGATCCGGTATCCACGATGGGAATGAAGTCAGGGGTAGCTCGGTGAGCGCCACGTATGATGGAGGGCGACGAAACAGTAACGTAATGTCTAATAGAACCGGGAGATCGTAATGTGAAAGGATACAAGCCGCGAGGTTCAAGAGTACAGTCGAGGTCTCGGCGTTGTAGTCGGCGTGTAAAACGTCCCATAGCTTCTTTGGCCCTTTTGGTAATGGCTTATGCCCTTGCGCCGTCGGATTGTGGGAATGTGAGTCCGGACCTTGAGCCTGCAACGACAGATCAATGGTCAGATCCTCAGGCCGTATGAGAGATAGACCTGCAAATACCATATCTTTGGCATCACGGGCCTTTCTACTCTTTACCATGCGTAGCCACTGCTGCAAGGTCCACTTTTCTTCGTCACGAGATGAACTCATAGAAGCTAGCATCGCTGGGATGTGCTTGATATGGGCCTGCCATAGAGGTGCAGCAAGGCCAAGCTGCGTGATCATGCGCTGTCCAGAAGTTTTTGGCGATCTTTCAATCTTATCTTCAGTCCATCGCAGCACCGACGAGATGAGATCGGTCCTGAATTGGTTTTCGCCAAGTAAGAATAGAGTATGACGAGCCTGACGTGACTCTTGTACGACCCACAGGCGACGAAACCAACGACGAGTGAGGAGCACAGAGGCGGCCGCGATGAGCATCAATTCGAGTTTTGCTCTTTTTAAGTGACATCCTTTGGCCACTGCGTCAAGCATTTCGTCTGTTACTATCACCTTTGAATCCCTTCGAATCTCTGAGTCGTCCGCCGTATGTCCTGGTACAGTATCTCTCTCACTCAATTGTGACCCAAAGACCGAGAACAATGTCTGCAAGGGGTAGGCTGCAAAGCTTGTCACGTTACCGAGCCAGACTACCACGTCTTCTGCGTAACCATAGATTCTTCCCATCATCTGGACTTGCTGAGTTTTCTCGCTCAGATCCTTTTGGTTGATGCACAAGGCATCAATCCAGTACTCGGTAGGTTGTAAACACCGTAAGCGAGCCATGGCTTCGTAAAGATTGGCCTGTATCATGATCGTCTTACCGTCGCAAAATATAGGCTTCGCGTCTCCTTCCTTGCCCTTGTTATAGTCTGTGCATCTATCTTCGGCTTCTCGCAAGAGCCTCTGCCAGATATCATCGATGCTATTGTTAACTCCGAAAAGTGGCTTAGCGACATCCTTGAACAATGCAGTGAAAGGGACTGTTAAGACCCCTTTGTACATGAGATCTGTGACCAGCGCAGGGTCCTTCTGCCAAGAATATGAAAGGGCGGTGAAACTTGGGCAGTCGTCCAGGCTTACGATACGGAAGTGGCAAGTGATCGGATCGGAAGAGGCTCCCGGGTCTATCTGAAGGATGCGAATACTCGAGGGCATGGGTAGAGACTCATACGTGTAGCTCTCGCTTCGAATACGCTGTAAGATGTTAGTGACTCCAAGCGAAGAACGAAACAAGAGTAAACTTACCAAGAATATCTCCTTCGGTTTACGAAGAGCTACACCATCGTGCTTAGAGTGGAAGCTCTTCCGTGTTTGCTCCAAGGCCAGTACTGCTCCTGGCTCCATTCGTTTTTTGAAAGGCATGGTAGCCAGACAAGAAGTTGTAAACGGCGGGAGAGTGAGTAGAATCTCTGTTCCCAATCGCAGCTGAAATAAGATATGAAAGCTGGGTATTCAGCTTGGTATACGAGCGGGCACCAATAGATATCTTCCCTTGGGTCATCCTCTAAATAGTGTCCAATGGGCGTGCGGCACTCAATGAGACCTGTTATACCACCATAAGCACGCGGCTTTTCAGCCTTGATCGTGACTGTCCAAAGTGTGAAAGCAGAGTCCAGGATGATGAAGGCCGGGTGGAAGGAATTCATGACATCATACGCAGAACCAGGCAGATGCGCCCAGGCTCAGCCACGTGCCAGCCTCCTCACCTTCCAAGGTTGTCCTGAGCATCGCTCACCCATCGGCAATCACGACCAAATTTACATCTAATTGTTCAGTCCGTGGCGATCCGTTCTCTGGAAAGGCAAGTCATGTCTCACAACACGAGCATTATCCAGATCGAGTGCGCTCGCGCCAAAGTCTCTTAGCGACAGTCCACCTGTCTTCACGACCCCATGTTTGCGCTCTTCATGTCAGCGAGAGCACAAATAACACGAGTGCGGACTTCGCAAAAACTCCGCTGTAGGCGTCCTCGTAGATACGGACATGGCAATGAACACTGCGCTTGTAAGAGTCAGTCTACGCGAAGTCCGACGCCCCGTCAGTACGCGTAGTCTTGGCGGCTACATGAGCCTGAGTATTGCTGCAAGACACACGTAAACATGAGGATAAGATGCCAGTGTGATATGGGCTCTTTTCTGAATATGTGGCTTGCTACGACACGTGGTCTGACGAACAGTTGATGGATATCACTGGATACGCGTACAGCGACTTGCTTGAAGCAGCGGAAGGTGTCTGACAGGCACATGCTCAGTGTACTCCGTAGCTTGTAGAACGTGTAAAACAGCTGCGAGTTTACGCGTCAAGATATCAGCCTCTGTGCATCCAGCCTCAAGTTGACGCATTCGAACAAGGCCCGAAGGGATATATATCCTACCCTCTTCATCTTGTCCTGTCATCTCATCAACCACCACACTATCCATCACTCCAACCCCCATTATCCCCACCATGAAATCTCTATTTCTTCTCCCCCTCCTGCCCACCTCCTTCGCCCTCGTCGCCCCCCTCAAACGCCTCACTCCCGACCTGCACCCCCGCGCCGCACACTGGGGAACAAAGTCCTGGTCCAACACCCATACATCCCTCACCCATACCATCACCGTAACAACAACCCTAACCGTCACCGTGACCGCCTTCCCCACCGCAAACGGAACATTCCCCAACATCACCACTACAGACGTGAGCGCGCCGG